CCGTCGAGAGTCTTCGTCTGGGGCAGTCCCTCTTGCCAGCCGTGCCTGCAGCCTTTGTTTTGTTGGTCTGACATCGGTCGCCCTGCCTGCAATCTCCGTTTCCATCGATCGCCCTGCCTACTCAAGAACTCCTCAAGAACTCCTCAAGACCTCCTCAAGACCCCAATCTGTGATATTTATTCTTTTCTCGTAATTTAACTTTAATTAAATACCTGTTGTCCTTGTTGTTTGAACACCGTTTTATTATTTGTCATCAGTCGTCTCCATAGACGGCTTGTCCTGTCTGTGGAGTGAGGCCAGGACCAATTTCTTTGCCTCCGATTAACCGCTCGTGCTAAATTGTCTTTCTCTTTTTTCGGCTTAAAGTTAACGGTAAAAGCCCTCTTTTGAGGCCCTCCACACGACACTAGCATCCTGCATCTCTTCCCATCTCCTTGCGACAAGGACGCGCGAATCGTCGAAAACAGATATAGTTGTCAAGGTCTTTTCATACAGGCCAATGACAAGTTCAATGAGAGTTAATATTTATTTAGTAGTTGGATGGTCAGGATGCAGCGAAGGTGATTCCAGAGGTATCAGGGCCAGTGGAATGGCTTTCTGTACCTAGTACAGTACTCCAGTTTATTGCTTCGCGACGAAGTCCCCGATGTGCTGCGATATTTTCGGAATTATAGGAGAAGAAAGAACATAATCGTATTTTATTACTCTTAAGCTATGACCGACGAACGTCGGTCGAATCGACTAGTGGGTTGTGAAAATATTACTCACTTTGACGTGAAATTTCGTTCGGTAGGCCGCGAGGATCGAGGAAACTCGAAAGTGTGCCGAGAAAAAAAAAAAGGTTGAGAAGCTCAAGTTCCTTATTCGAACGAATCCGTGCAATCACGACCTTTGAAATGAGGAAGCGTCCAATCGTCCTTTATTCGATTGCAAGGAAACTCGGAAGCAGCTTTATACGTGCTCATCCTCCCAAGACGTCGGAGGCGATGAGGTTGGCATTCGCGTGCTGCTCTTGCGTTGCTGCGGTCGATCCATGCTTCAGCAAATGTGTGGGGTCTTTCGTGGTCGTGTGGGTTCTTTCGTGGTCGTGTGGGTTCTTTCCTGGTCGTGTGGGTTCTTTCCTGGTCGTGTGGGTTCTTTCCTGGTCGTGTGGGTTCTTTCGTGGTCGTGTGGGTTTTTCTGTTAATCGTGTGGGTTCCGGCTGAATTCGGTGGGCGTGGTTGTCCGTGTCAGTGGATTCCTTAGGGAGTCTGCCTTCTATTTTCATTAAAGCATTTAAAGGGCTAAAGGTTGTCGAGGGTGCGGGGTGGGGGCTTTGAGAGCACCCTCTTCAATTTCTGCGTAATAAAACTTTTTTTTTTACTTGGCATTCTTACTTAATATGTATGCTTTACAAGTTTCCAGTTTCTTCCTGTCCCTTAGGTCGGTAGATAAATGCTTCCGACTGAGCAATGTCAGATTTTAGTTGAACCTTTCTCGAAGGTTCCACGAGAGGAAGCAGAGGTCGCACTCGGGAGACAGCGATCTCGACATCAGATTCTCATCCGAAGATGTTTGGAGATGAAGAACTTGCAATTCCTGAGAAGAGTCAGCCTCCGGGTCCACGGCGTCGTGGGAGATCTTTTCTTAAAGTATGGAAACTCCTACTTCCCATTTTCCAAATCGAGCGATCCGAGGGGCGTTATTGCACGGATGAAAAAAAAAGCTTTCATCTACAATCCATTATTTGACCGATGAGGAATCTCGCTAAGAAAGTCAAATTCAAACTCGCCAGTAATCGCTTTGCAATTTTCCTGACAGCGTGGCAAAGATTCCTGTGATACGGACTTTTGCCCTTCGTTTAAATCTTAGCATGCGCGGCGTGTGGAACGACTGGCGTACGTCTGAAAGTGTGTCCCCTAATTGAGGTCATTTCAATTAGTAGATTGTGACTGGCAATTTCCAATAATGGACAATGATTGGCAATTTCTGGTAATGGATTGTGATTGGCAATTTCCAAAAATGGATCGAAAAGTGGGGAAATTTGGATAGCTGTTCATATTACGCTTTACTCCGGTTGATAGAGACGCACGAAAAACCTAATGAGTTGAGCAACGTTTTCGTGCTCCTAAACGTGCTTGTGATAAGCGTTTAAAACGGCAAGATCTTCTACCTATTGAAATATTTTCTAAATATTTCAAACAATTTTCTCAGCATGAACGCTTGTTCAGAAAGAGATTCTGTTGCGTCGGAGGAACTACGCTATATCTATTCGTCAAACTTTTCGCCTAAGTCAAACACCTTAAACTTTTCGATATCTCCCTCACTTGGACAATGCATTGTGTCAAGAGAGCAATTCTTCGAAAAGTTTGGCACCATCATGACGGTTCTCCCACTAGAAAACCGGCAATTTAACAGAATTAACAGATTTCCCCGAATTAAAATAGTCCAGCTGACTATAGCGAAGTAAATGAAGTCACAAGACTCACTAAGCCACGAAGGAGGAGATTGATCCCGGTGACAGCCTCCACAATGTCGACCTCGCGGCAGCGATCTTCCCATCTTCCATCCAGGCTCGGCTGCCTATTGGCGCACAGACCGTGGACGTTCATCCTCGCCTCTGTCATCCTGTCTTCGTGCCTCATTTCGGGGGTCATTCACTGGCGAGAGGAGGAAGGAGGAACCGTGAAAGCCTGGTTCGCCCCGGGGACTCCTATCTATCGAACTGATCAGTGGATCAAGAAAAACTTCCCGAACGGAGTTCGGTACGAAACAATTATCCTTTCCGGGCCCGATGTACTCACTCCGGAGTACTTCAAATATGTGAGACCGTGCCACAACACTTTAATTCAGTTCCTAGTTTTCTAAATGTGGAATGAAGTCCTTCTTTGAATTTTCTTGCAGATGGGGACCCTGGACAAGGAAATTCGATCCTTGGTATCCAATGGATATGCCTGGGAGGACGTCTGTGCGAGGTACAGTGCGTTATTAGAAGCAAATTTTGTACTATGAATGCTATTAAAAAAAAAGTAATACGAATTTTGCAAGTGATTGGGAGAAATGTCGACAATGCGATGATAGTGAAGTCGAGTGCTTGCCTGTTTGTTGCACATGCTTGCGACAGATGAATGTTTTCATAACTCACGCAGGCCAGAGGAATTTTTAGAGGGACACAAAAAGGAGGAAAGAAGGCGAAGAGATACCGAAGCTCAAAGTCTTTGGCATGCAGAGGACCGACGACTCGACTCAGTCCATGGTATGCATTTTAACCTACAAGTTATAATGCTTCTTTAAAAGCCACGTCGAAAAAGGGAAATAAGAATGAATGGTTACTCCAAATATTTCTATCATGCTTGTTCTCAATCTTTGTTGTGTGAATTTCGAAATCACTTTCAAAATATCATGATTTTACTCATCACTTTAGGGGAAAATGGCACTCTTGACGATGTAGTACCGACTACAGAATCAACAAGCAGCCAATCACAAAAGACAGCAACAGAAATGAGCAGTGATTCTACTGGTACCATGAAACCGGAAACGTCACTACTACCAATATTGATATCATCCTTCACAGCAGAGAATCTTGAAACAACGAAAGAAAATGAAACGACGACGACACCTACAACAGAGAAAACAGCAAGGATCAGTCAAGCCGAAGTTAATCGAGAAGGCGATTCTAAAGAACCCTTGCAGTACGACGATTACAATAACGGCTGGAAGGAGGATTCGGACGCATCGGAGGTCTTCGGAGGCGAGGAGGAAGAAATAACTCTGTACGATGGTAGTTGCATCTATTCCAGCACCCTTCAACTGTGGGCGGAAGATTTCGACTTCAGCACTATCACAACGGCGGAGATCCAGGACAAAGTCACTCGAGCCCTCGACGACAAGTGAGTTTAAGAATGAAGTCATTCTCCCTTTGCTAGGGTGTCACTTAAAAGGGTCAAATTTGTATATTTTCACATTTTTTTAATATGTGCTCCCTCACTTTGAAAATTGTGGGAGGGGGATGGCAACTTTTCTCCTCTTGAGCCACATTGAAAAATCATATAGAGGATATTCTATCATGATTGAAAAATTCGGAACCATATTGCATACTTCAGGGGAAGAATGGATTTGCATAGTTATTCGGGAAGCATATTGTGCTTATGTTCCTTCTGGGTTGAGGTTTATTTGAGACTGCGTTATAACGAGAGGGGGTCGGACGGGAGATGGGACGGGTCGGAGTGCAAGTCGTCGGTGGTGTGGGGCACTTTCTCATGCTTAGCCCTTTGAGGGAAATCAACGTACATCCATTCTCCGGAAAGGTTAAAAAAAAACTCCGTGCTCAAAGAGTTAAATAGCGATTAGTCTTTCTGTTTATAATATGACAATGAAAATGAAGATAATTCCGAAGAAGTCATGGAACTTCATCAAGTCATGGTTCTGACTTCCAGTTAGAGCCAGGGATTTCTGGCCTTTTTTCGTTTCTACTGATAGTGCCTCTATCTCACTATCACGCGCATTCCAAGCCACTGGTATCCTCTTGTGTGCCGCAAGTCACAGTCTATTTGAGCACCTAACGATCTCACTGCACCGCCCCCTCCCGCATCCCCTCGTTGAGGAATTTTCGTCGACCGGACGGCTTGGCAAGGCACGTGACGAAAATGCATCGGAATTCTATCTCGATGCATTTTTCCCTTGAAATTAAGATATACAAGGACGAAAATCGAAAAAAATGCATCCTCAAGATGCATTTTTCCTATTTTCCGAATGCATGTGTGCATAGCAACGAAAAGAAGTTCACAATCGAGACGCACGAGCAGGATTATGGAATTCATATCATAAACAGGTCACGGAATGACGTGAAGGGGATGTTGTCTGGGGTGGAGAGAGACGAAAGCGGAAGAGTCGTGGGTGCAGCGGCCGTCATGTTCGTCTACATCCTCAAGGACCGGGCGAATGCCACCAACAGAAAGGGTCAACCGGTTAGTGCTTTCACAGTGTTGGATATGTTGCGCTTTCTGTGATGCTCTCATTCGTTAGATTCCATCCTCCTCCTAACCCAGTTACCATACTCCAATTGCACTCGATCTTGAAAAATGCACAGGCGGCATTTCATAGGGGCTCAGGGGGCTCGAGCCCCTCAAAAATTTGGCAGAAGGGTCTAACAGCGAGGAGAGCGAGGACATGAGAAATAAGGAATACTTGTAAGAGTACTGTCTCTGAGGCCCCCCATATTTCTCAGCTAATCGCCGCCTATGGAAAAATCACTGAGATTTTGCAAAACAAGCGTAAAAATTTGACGCCCATAAATTACCGGAACCTATAACCAAAGGTTTTTGGTTTTGTTGTGACACTGGGGCATGTGTTCATGGCAAGAATTAATGTTTCGACAACAATCTCCATTAGAGAATGAGAATGGATAGCGATGAAGAGAAATGTTAGGCCGAATCAGGTGTGCGAGTTTCATGGTGTCCAGGAATGGACTGAACGTGAGGAATTTCGCATCCGGCCCTGACCTAGGCCTCTGCTACCTTACTTCAGTCTGATGCGCGAGTTCGAGAAGACTATGTTCAGAATGGCCATTGCCCAGGGACAAAGCGCAAAAGCTATGTTCAGTCGATTCCGGGACACCCTGTTCGAGGGATCCTGTTGCTCTATATTTATTGTGATACGGCCATTGTCGCGATGCGCCTCGGTATGTGAAAAGAAGAAATGTCGACATGGAAGTAGTCGATGGCAAAAATTGAGATGGTGACAATGTAGAAATGTCGGAATTTGAAAACCGATTTCAAAGGTATTACCATTCTTCAACCTCAACTTCACCAATGATTTTTTAATTTAATAATTTTACATTAATGATTTTTTACTTCTTCATCTGTCTGGGTGTTTCAGACTTTTGATGAGTGACGATCATCCAACTCATCTTGTGACAATCAAGATGTGTCTGTCTCCCATCAGGTCGATCTGATCGCAGAGCCGTGGGAGGAGAAATTCCTCGAATTGATGTTCCATAACGGCCTCCCCAAACCTCCAGGCTTGAAGATTTATGCCAATGCAGAACGCAGGTAGGATGGGATTCTCGGTTCTCCTCGGGCGAGACACTATTAGCGTCTCAAATGCCAACCTCGAGCTGTGTCGAATAGCTTTCGAGACGGGATCAGCGAAATGAGGGACAAAAACATGATCTATTTCGCTCTTGGTTTCGTTCTCATCACCATCTACGTGGCCATCAACATGGGGAAATTCAATCTCCTTGAACAAAGAGTGTCAAAATATCATGATTTTACTCATCACTTTAGGGGAAAATAGCACTCTTGACGATGTAGTGCCGACTACAGAATCAACAAGCAGCCAATCACAAAAGACAGCAACAGAAATGAGCAGTGATTCTACTGGTACCATGGAACCGGAAACGTCACTACTACCAATATTGATATCATCCTTCACAACAGAGAATCTTGAAACAACGAAAGAAAATGAAACGACGACGACACCTACAACAGGGAAAACAGCAAGGATCAGTCAAGCCGAAGTTAATCGAGAAGGCGATTCCAAAGAACTCTTGCAGCACAACGATTACAATAACGGCTGGAAGGAGGATTCGGACGCATCGGAGGTCTTCGGAGGCGAGGAGGAAGAAATAACTCTGTACGATGGTAGTTGCATTTATTCCAGCACCCTTCAACTGTGGGCGGAAGATTTCGACTTCAGCACTATCACAACGGCGGAGATCCAGGACAAAGTTACTCGAGCCCTCGACGACAAGTGAGTTTAAGAATGAAATTATTCTCCCTTTGCTAGGGTGTCACTTAAAAGGGTCAAGTTTGTATATTTTCGCATTTTTTTAATATGTGCTCCCTCACTTTGAAAATTGGTGTAGGGGTATGGCAACTTTTCTCCTCTTGAGCCACATTGAAAAATCATATAGAGGATATTCTATCATAATTGAAAATTTCGGAACCATATTGCATACTTCAGGGGAAGAATGGATTTGCATAGTTATTCGGTAAGCATATTGTGCTTATGTTCCTTCTTGGTTGAGGTTTATTTGAGACTGGTCCAGCAAGATGGGGCGGGGTGATGGGACGGGTCGGAGTGCAAGTCGTCGGTGGGGTGGGGCACTTCCTCATGCTTAGCCCTTTGAGGGAAATGAACGTACATCCATTCTCCGGAAAGGTTAAAAAAAGAACTCGATGCTCAAAGAGTTAAATAGCGATTAGTCTTTCTGTTTATAATATGACAATGGAAATGAAGATAATTCTGAAGAAGTCATGGAACTTCAAGTCATGGTTCTGACTTCCAGTTAGAGGCAGGGATTTCTGGCCTTTTTTCGTTTCTACTGATAGCGCCTCTATCTCACTATCACGCGCATTCCAAGCCACTGGTATCCTCTTGTGTGCCGCAAGTCACAGTCTATTTGAGCACGTAACGATCTCACTGCAAAATTCCTCAACGAGGGGATGCGGGTGGGGGGCCTCCCGCATCCCCTCGTTGAGGAATTTTCGTCGACCGGACGGCTTGGCAAGGCACGTGACGAATATGCATCGGAATTCTATCTCGATGCATCTTTCCCTTGAAATTAAGATATACAAGGACGAAAATCGGAAAAAATGCATCCTTAAGATGCATTTTTCCTATTTTCCGAATACATGTGTGCATAGCAACGAAAAGAATTTGACAATCGAGAGGCACGAGCAGGTTTATGGAATTCATATCATAAACAGGTCACGGAATGACGTGAAGGGGATGTTGTCTGAGGTGGAGAGAGACGAAAGCGGAAGAGTCGTGGGTGCAGTGGCCGTCATGTTCGTCTACATCCTCAAGGACCGGGCGAATGCCACTAACAGAAAGGGTCTACCGGTTAGTGCTTTCAATGTTTTAGATATTGCGCGTTCTGTGATGCTCTCGTTCGTAAGATTCCATCCTCTTCCCAACCCAGTTGCCATACTCCAATTGCACTCGATCTCGAAAAATTCACGGGCGGCTATTCATAGGGGCTCAGGGGGCTCGAGCGCTTCAAAAATTTGGCAGAAGGGTCTAACAACGAGGAGAGCGAGGACATGAGAAATAAGGAATACTTGTAAGAGTATTGTCTCTGAGGCCACCAATATTTCTCAACAAATCGCCGCCTATGGAAAAATCACTGAGAATTTGCAAAACCAGCGTAAAAATTCAACACCCATAAATTACAGGAACTTGGAACCAAAGGTTTTTGGGTTTGTTGTGACACTTGGGGCGTGTTTCTATGCCAAGAATCAATGTTTCGATAGCAATCTCCATTAGAGAATGAGAATGGATAGCGATGAAGAGAAATGTAAGGCCGAATCTGGTGTGCGAGTTTCATGGTGTCCAGGCATGGAGTGAACGTGAGGAATTTCGCATCCGGCCCTGACCTATGCCTCTGCTACCTTACTTCAGTCTGATGAGCGAGTTCGAGAAGACTAGGTTCAGAATGGCCATACCCCAGGGACAAAGCGCAAAAGCTATGTTCAGTCGATTCCGGGACACCCTGTACGAGGCATCCTGTTGCTCTATATTTATTGTGATACGGCTATTGTCGCGATGCGCCTCAGTATGTCGAAAGAAGAAATGTCGACATGGAAATAGTCGATGGCAAAAATTGAGATGGAGACAATGTAGAAATGTAGGAATGTGAAAACCGATTTTAAAGATATTACCTTTCTTCAACCTCAACCTCACCAATGATTTTTTTTAATTTAGTAGTTTTAATTTAATGATTTTTTACGTCTTCAGCTGCCTGGGTGTTTCAAACTTTTGATGAGTGACGATCATCCAACTCATCTTGTGACAATAGAGATGCGTCTGTCTCCCATCAGGTCGATCTTATCGCAGAGCCGTGGGAGGAGAAATTCCTCGAATTGGTGTTCCACAACGATCTCCTCAAACCTCCAGGCTTGAAGACTTATGTCAATGCAGAACGCAGGTAGGTTGCGTTTCTCGGTTCTCCTCGGGCGAGGCATGACTAGCGTCTCAAATGCCAACCTCAAGCTGTTTCAAGATCGAAAGCTCTGCCCTAGTCGCTTTACTCCCTGTTTTTGTACTAGATAAAGCGAGAACCAAAGCAAGAGTAGTGGTAGATGCACCGGTAGTTGTACCCCTTTAAGTTAGAGGAACTTGTTTCTCACAGTGCCTGCGGTCGATTATTTCTTCATTTCCGTATTACATATTTACAATATATGTTCATTTCATGTGTACCATATGTAAGTCATCAAATGGCGTCCTCTCAAGGGAGGACAGAAGTAGTCACCAGATTTGATTACGTCTGACCTCCCTTAGAGGACAAAACAGTCACTTAATTTGATTGTTTTGTGCCTTGAAGACGAAAGTGATGACTTGCATTTACTGAGATTAATGTTAATGCGGTCCATAAGTCCGATTCGGTAATCATGCACATGACTCAAACGAGGCTGGGAGGGACTGAGAGGGACTGAGAGGAATTAGAAATCAGCTTCCCAGTATAATCTTGTATTTCGACAATCTAGGTATTTTTTTGAGCCAGAAAATCCGGGTTTCGTCTATTACTTCTCGAACGTCCTTATTCCGGTTTTTTTTTAAGTTTCCGGGGTATATTTTGCTAAAAATTGCATCAGTCGTTCCAAAGTAACGAAATTTACTTTCGAAGAAAACTTGAGATGCTTGAGGCGATGCTTTTCATTTTCTGATGGGCAGGAAGTAAATGTAGTTGTTTAAACTATGAAAAACTTTTGGGCAAAAAAATCCATGCGTGATGAAGTACCCTCAAACCTAAGAGAAAAAAATTAAGCAACAGTAAGGAGTAGAGGAATCTTGAAATTTGAAAATGGAAAAAAGTTTAAAAGAGAAGGACAAATCGAGGAATGTTTCAATGGCATGTATGGGACGATGTGGAGAGAGATACTTGTTTACTACCAGGTAATTGTCAAATGCTAAAACTGTACTTCATGGCTCAGAGATAATATGAAGATAATTTAATTAAATGTTTCATGATGCTTCATAAGTGCTTCATGACACTGAATGCATAAATACTTCACATATTGCTAAATATGCCTTGAATGCACAACAAATCCACAAGATTCCTCTTATGGAGGCTTTTTGATGGTATCTGACATTAATTAACGGTGTATTGTTTTTGGGTGGACCTCAAAGCACTTGATCAATGTTTCCTGTTTAGGTCTACCTGGGCCTGGCCGTGGTGCTGTGCATCGGGCTGACGATCGTGAGTGCGGCTGGGTTGTGCCTCTCCATTGGGTACATCCCGACGGAGATTCACAATCTGATGCCTTTCCTCATCCTCGGGATCGGCATCGACGACTCGCTCGTCATCATCCAGGTGACTCATTACGACCTCCATGTGACCCGTTGCGACCTCCATGTGACTCGTTACGACCTCCGTGCGTCTCTGAGTCTCGTCTCTCGCGAGGTTTTCGTCCACTTGTGCTGCTTGAGGTATGAATGAAGGGAAAAGCCTTGCGATGCGGGTCCGCGATGATTGAAGCGTTGTACGATAACGCCTGAAAATTTTTTACTTGAAAGAATAACTTCATAACTATTTTTTCAGGAAACGACCCCATCGGAACATTCAGAGTCCCGTTTCTTTTGTCAAATTTGTTTGGAATCAGTCAGGATTTCAACTTCCAAGGAGAACAAAATCTCACAACTGGCTATAGAAAGAAAAGCAGGGGTTTCAGATGTTTGTCAAGAATTGCCATTCATATGCATTGGGGTATTCTGAAATTGACAAAAACCCGTCGATGTTGGACGATGCCCGATTTTATTCTACTCTAATACTAGCACATCTCATACTCTTCCAGAAATCAAGTCATGCGAGAGTATGCGACGTCAAAATTTTATTGACTATTGATCTTGATAAGATCGATGAAGCAGGCTTTTAGCACACTGGCGCGCAAAATCACAAAATAATAATTTCGTTGGTATTGGTGTGTAATAATAATATAATCTAGTTAATCGAACTTCCAATCCTCACATTAACCGTGCAGCGACATTTTATTCCAACTATTTCCATTCCCAATTAATGATACCCAAGCAGCGTGTAGCCAGTGAGCCAGGGGCTGACATGTATCTGCTGGAAGGCGGCTAGTAGCCGCCGGGCCACATCATCAAGGATATTGATGAATGCGTCAACGGTGTTGAAGGAGGCGAGGGGGGGGGGGGGGAGCGAGGGGAACATGCAGCAAATGGCCCACAACATAGCTCAGGTGATCGACCACCGACTCTCTTCCCATAACGAGGCTAGCATTTTCCCCTTCCACGTTTTACGAGATGAACCCTGTCCCAACTGGATGGCATGCATTCTCCTCGGACGCAAAACGTTTCGAACGCAAACCCACATTGCTGACGTAGGAAAAGAATTCCCTTCTCCTTTTTTCTTTTTATGTGATTCATGGACAAAAATGAGAAAGTGTAATCAAATTTCTGATCGCAATATGAGATTCTAGAAAATAACATGTTGAAGTTCCTTATGAAAACAGAAGTGCAAAGAGTGTAGCCTAAAAAATATTCCAGTTAGCTTTCCAATTTATTCCTTGCACAAAATGTACACTAAATTTTCCGCTCTCGTCGTTCATTTCAGCCTCTGTATGCGGATGGATTAGCTTTCAAAAATAATATCTATTGGCACCCATAATGAGACTAGAAGGAGGAATTGAATGTTTTTCTTTTAGCTTTTTCCCCCGATATAACTCCTATACTTGAGGATGTAGTGAGTCGTTGGCGGGTCGGAATACGGCAGTTGGTAGCCCTCAACCTAGTACAATATGGTTCCCATCAGCTATCTTTCAACAACTTCGCTAGTGACCTACAAAATACATGCAACTTGGTTATATTTCATCCTCTATTATTGCCATGCAATAAAAATTCGATAGACATAACCGAAAAGCGATGGTGCTGTAGTGCCTGGAGAACGTGGTGTCAAAAGAAAGGACTTTGAACCCGGAGGAACGTGTGGGAGAAGCGTTGAGGCAGGCTGGAGTCTCCATCACCATCACGTCCATCACGGACGTCTTCGCCTTCGCCATTGGAGCCACTACGGTCTGTTTGCATCATCGCCTTCCCGGCGTCTTTCACTGGTGTAATGAATTGGCAGCGGCGCAATCTTATCGGGTGACTTGGGCTACTTACTTCCTACTCTTCTTAAATGCCAACGAATATGTATTCGAAAAATTGCGTGTCCAAAACGCTTCACAAAATCTTTAACTCCTGGTATAAAATGGTACCTAGAATGCCACAATGAGTTCCCAGCTAGTACATATAATTATATCGCATATGATTTCTTATCTGTCATGATACTCTTCACCTTCTGCAGGTGTTAGTCGCATCTGAGTGCCTTCTGTTCTCGTAAAGCTCTTCCTGGCGACAAGTAGGCACATCTCTGATATTTTTCTGAAACTGAACTGTATCCAGTTCAAGAAAGCGGCCTTCGTTTGACAGGCAGCTGATGAAGTAAGCGTGGATTTCAATAATGCTGCCGGTCTGTAGCAGTAATAACTTGCTTATAACACAAAGTTAGCATAAGTTGCACACGCTTAGCGTTCGGCTTGATATTGAAAAACCTTGAGGGCGGTAAATAGCTTGGCTAATCTCCCGATAATACAATTATTTTTCAAGATAGACATTGCCCATCAATTTGCGAAGAAATTGGGACTTTTGTAAGGATTGAATATTTCACAGAAAGGAAAAACAAAGCGGACTAAATCGGGATTTTTAGACAAAAGGAGGGTAAAGCACATTGACGCATGTACGAAGGGGCGTACATGCGTCAATGTACAATTGCTGTGGGGATTTGTGAATAAAACTAGTCCCAAATACGCACCATTGGTACTAAATTCTCCCAGACAAATATTCGATCAAAATTGACCCCTGTGAGCTGGAGATGCTCGCACTTCTGACATGCGAAGTTTCCCGGACAGTGGTTGTCGAGTACTTCTGGCGCACAATGAAAGAAAAAGAAATCGGACGCAGCAAAGGTACAGTTTCAGGCATACGCTCTTAAAACGTAACTTTTGCATGACTTTACGCAGACGTTACCCCGGCGTTTAAACGGCATTTGAAAGGTTTCTAGGGGTGCGGAACCTTCGCGGTGATTTGAACCTCTCTACATAAAAGTTAAAAGGAAGTTACCGAGATGCGGTAACTTTCGATTCCTACACTCTACAAAGATATTTCAGTTGGGGAATAGTCAGTTTGAAGAGGAAAAACTAGGAAATAGTATGTCGTATCATGGTCAAGTGGCTGGGGTTACCACCATAATATCGGGATGTCCGCGTGGCGAAAGGTCCCTGGCGGACCGCATGCTTCCTCGTCCTTCATGTTGGAAGCTTGAAAATCCCTATCTCCAAAGAACGTTCATGGGACGAGGGCAATGTCTTTAATAAAAGGTGAATTCCAAATTCATTAAGTGATCTGGTGTCACGGGAACTGCCTTAACTTTTAGGAATGATTCGAAATATCTAAATGTTACAAAGGCATCATTGATAACTTTTGAAAAACGTAACTTTTGGATAGCCTTCAATCTTTTAAGTTTGAAGTAGCTTCGATTTCGAGGGTGGAAACTTAGTAATTTTCTAACCTTTAGTACTGGTTACTCAAAGGTTACTTGTATACGAGGACAGCTTTCTGACGTTGCATTGACGGGACGATTCCGTGATATGATAATTCCACGTTTCTAGCGGGTATTCTTTGTGTCATAGAAGTTACCTAGACAGGTTGTCCCATAATTAACTGAAGATGAGGAAGTTTCGTGTGCAAGTCCCTTTGACTTAGAATTCTGCTGCTTTAGTATCAGGCGCGAGACCTACATGTATATGCTCTTCTAAGCCAAAAAGTCTGAGTACAATGCCTATCTACTGTCATTTCTAAAAAGGAAATGTTCGCTTCTTGATCATCGAATGATGATAGTACGGCCTGCAGCTAGAAAGATTAAGAACTATGTCGATTCCGAATGCCATGATCCTTACTGTTCTTCAGAAGGTTCCACAAATATTGATGTTTACTATCTGACCAGACAGTACCCGTGCTCCGGAGCTTCTGCATCTACACGACCGCCGGGATTTTCATAGTCTACGTCATGACCTTGATATTCATGGTACCGATTCTGTCTCTGGACGAAAGGAGACGAGACAACGGGAGGGAAGGATGCTTGTGTATTCGCTTGCCAGCCGACTACAACAAGAACAGTTGCTCCCAAAAGCTCCTGCTCAAAGCTATTTTCCACAAGATCGTCGGGCCATTGCTCGTCAAAACTCCAGTGAAGGTTCGTCAACTTCATGCGTTCAAATGGAGAGAAACATTGGCAATTTCACGAGGGTGTAGTGATAGTACAAGTGCATGTCTTGCAGGTCGTTGTGGTGCTACTTACGATGAGTCTCTTGGGTCTCAACTGTTGGGGATTGTCTGGGTTGAAGAACGACTTCGACAGAACCTGGTTTTTGAATCCGGGATATCAGAGAGACTTCGTGTCCGCTGTGCAGGATCTCTTTCCAGAAAGCGGCTATAGAGCTGACTTTTATATTGGTGAGTCTATAGGGACATGCAATGCCGATTAGATGTAGTGAATTTATCAATAAGAAAGGAGTCTTTGGCAGGGAATACGGATTACTTCAGGGAGAAAGAAGCACTGGAGGAGTTATTCAATAGACTGTCGGCTCTTCCGGGGATTAAGAATGGATCTATTGAATTCTGGCACCACTCTTTCCTGGAGTATCTCAAGGAAAAAAAAGGCAAGCCTATCCGAATAAAGAAAGTTTCTACAAAAGCGATGAAATTGATCGTCACAAAACGTCCACCTCCCATGTGGTCTTGTAAGCAGGCAGATATCCTCCTGAATAGTGTTCCACCTGTTGGAGCGATGATCCACCCGGGGAAAATTTCACCTGGCTCGCAATAAATGTGCGCAAATGGGTAGGTATATTTCCAACAGGGGGGACATTCATTTTGTTCCAAATGCACTACCTATCCACTTAGAAGTTCATGTAGGTGGTTAGGGGGTGGACGTTTTGTAAAGGGTTACCCAAGCAACTTCGGTAGGGGGACCGCTGAGAAACTGACTTTAAACTCGGCTCAACACTCACTGGCGAAACTGTCATGTATCTATAGTAGGGTTATGTGGGGAAGTGGCATTGCCCGTTGACTAGTCTTGAAATTTTGGGGGATTGCGCGAGAAGGGTTCTTCTCCTTTTTGCATCAAAACACGTTGGAAAGGCTGTGCAAGCGTCCAACTCTCGGTATTCCGGACATGAGATAGCAGGCGATTTAGTCTGGATTTTCGAGAACCTTATTTTCTCTTTTCTCGGTTTCGCTTCTCCGCCCTGGACCGACAAGGAGCCATGAGAAGAAATTGATTGGATTGGAAAAAATGAAAAACGTGGGAGATTCTAATCTTTCTCGGCCTTGGAATCGGTTTGTTAAGGGGTGACACACTGCCAGAAATTCGGCCAAGCAGGACTGAAAAGGAAACCCATGCAGTGTCGGGTTGGGTGCCGAATGGTGAATTGACAATTAGCTTTCGCTATAAGGTTACAGCTGACCCGATTACCATTATATCGAAATAGAATTTGCGAGAAATCCGTCAGGTGATGTGAGTTATATTTTTCAGAGGACTATCCGAAAACCAAAGCAACATTCAAGCAGAAGCTTTCCATCTTTCTGGTCTTCACCAAGAAGGGACGGAAATTCATAAGCGATCTTAAATACACCGGGAACCTCTTAACGGACTTCAACCTCACCGTGAGTGCATGCCGTAACGTAACGCGAGAGTCGTCGTTTGGATTGGGAAGCTATAAAATGTGTACCGTACCGTTCAGGCTTCGAGAGGGAGGTACCAACACATTCATTTCAACACCGGGGAAGAAAAACGACAGGGACTCCGCGAGGTGGAAGAGGTTCTGCACGGAGTCCAATTCAAGGGGAGAGATCCATTCAGAGGAGCTCTCACTTTAGAGTACCTCGTCATCCGATCGAACGAGGCAAGCGGTTTCCTCACTTAGAGGGCGCATCTCCGAAGTTCGAGTGAAACTTTTTCCGTACGTCCACGTAATTTGTATGCAGCATTCGAATGTGCCAGAGTATGATTTACATGTATATTTCTTTTGCGATGTGCTGAATGTATATTGGTCCCGTTGGATTTCATGGTTGTGAGTTGCTTTAGAAGAAATAGTTCCATATAGTTTTTTCAATTCAAGGTTACAACCAATGTCAGATGTTGGGAAAATTTTTTGGTATTCTTCGAATTTTTAATTTAATTATTCTTAATTCCAAGTTTAGGTTAATCTATGCGTATTTTGTTTGCATTCTCGGATCGAGCAGTATAGAGAGATAGCATGCTTTAGGACTTTTTTTTGTTTCTTATTGGTTGCATTATATTACCTGGTTTCTGGATCGTTGGCCACAATAACTGAATTTCTGTTGGTCTTTTCAAAATTACTGTATTTAGACGGCAATATTTATTATCGTCTCAACGCGAAACAGTTGGAAGCTCGTTACTTTGCACTGTCACCCCATTCATCAATTAAGAGAAACGAACAAACTTTGTAAGGAACTGCCAACTACATCAATGGATAAAATTGCTCGTGTCACAAGATTGGAAATACTCGAAGTGTTAATATCTCATTATAAAAAATGGTCACTAAGTGAGTTCACCGAACGACTTTCGGCTATTCTAATTTCTTTTTAACTTAGGTTTGTTACTTATGTCAAGTGATATTTTTGTTGCTTTATTTTAAGATCTTATTAATGATGAAATGACCGATAGGACTCATGGACTGACCAAAAGTGGAAGAA